AAAAGTAATATTCTGATATTTGAGAATCATTAGAAGGTTTTAGGTGCGGGTATAGGTATGAATAAAAAAGATAAGATTCACAACCACACCGATACCCAAAAGTATCCGAGATTAACGTGTCTAAGTGAAAATAGTGCTGAAGAAAATATTTTTTTGAATTGATCGATATACGGCATCAAATGTGTTATCTAATTGTATCAAAAGATAAATAATATGAGACATAAGTATTGCTTGAATCTGTCTCAATTGATTTTCCGTCACTTGACACACGACAAGTGAATGTAAATAAGAAAATTGAGTGAAATCTATATTGAAATAGGTATCGATTACTAATCTCTTGATAAGATACGCGAATAATGAAATCAGCTTTGACTCATCTTTTTCCAGAGTAAGCAAAAGATTTCCAAATGATTGCAGAAGTTGATTAAACAGTTTATCGAGTCTTCAAAATTTATATGATAAATCTCGAGCAAGAAGAACAATAAGCTAAAAAAATTACAAAGTACACAAAATTGAGATAAAAGAAAAAAAATCTTGAAGCTAGATTCGTTGCTTGGCGATGTCAAGGGAACACAAGAAAATCAAATTGTTAACTGTTGAAGAATTGAGATTTGAGCTTCTCTGAGTAACAAAACGTGCCTGAACAATGATGATATGTGAAAATGACAAGAAAAACAATCATTCTACCTCGTATTGCCGTATTGATTAGGGTGAGTGTTGGTGCGAGTATTGTTGAACATGTCAAGGTCTTACACCCACACACACATCCAAAAAAACCAGCTCATTTGGTTAAAATGGAGTGGAGATATTCAATCTTTTTTGCCGTGAGCCATCGGTGGTTCATATCGCGTCGAATGTATTAAGTTGTTTGTTGTTGTGTGTTAGATTTTCCATGGACACTTCTCATTATGTTTAGAGTTAAAATTAGTTTGTCAGTTGTTATTTTTCGCATGGATTTAGTTTCATTATCGTTCCCTTTCTCTTTCTATGATGTGCTTATCGTTAAGTTTACAGTTCGAATCAACTTGGTTGCTATTGTTTGTCGCATGCTTTTAGTTTTGTTATCGTTTCTTTTCTCTTTTTATTATGTGTCCATCGTTATACTTATCGTTAAAATACATGAAACAGTTACTGGTTCCTCTACGATATTAAGTTATTCATCGTCGTTTTTACGTTTTCGATAATTATGTATGGGTAAGTTGATGGTTAAAATTAGTTTATGAGTTATTGTTACTCGCATATTTTCAATTATGTCATAGCAGCCTTTCTTTTTTCATTAGGTGTTGATCATTATATTCATAGTTAAAATGCATGAAAGAAAATATTGTATTTGGATTTTTTTCTAGTATGGTCATCGTTGTATTTGCGTTTGGAGTAGGACTGAGTGTTGATTCTATTTGTTAATTTGAAATTGTGCGTTAGTGTTACTTATGCTTCATCATTATGCTGATGGTTAAAATGAATTCGTCATGTATTGTTACTGGCCTGCTTTTACTTTGGTGATCACAATATAAAAGTGGGGGCGGTCGTAATTAGTAGATCAGGTGATGAAGAACAGCTTTCAGGCATTTTCTGTGATAGTATTACGCTGATGATCGCGATTTATGATTGTCGATCGAAAGTGTCGTGAAAGTGTGAATGTGTCCATTTTTGAAATACTTAAATGTGGTAGTGTGAATTTGAAAATTTAGCATTCCGGTATTTGTTTTTACCAATAGTGTTTGCCTGATAATCGTGATTCCCGATTGTCAGCCGGCAACGTTCGAAAAAGATAAACATGAGGCGAAGTCTTTTTTTAGTGCGAGAATGTGTTTACGAATAATTTCCTGTTTATGATGCAAAAAAATTCTTTACGTCAAAATATTTCGCGTTTTCATGATGCATTATTTCCTCGCTTTTTTGTTGATAATCGGAAACCTCGAGTAGCATCCAAAAACGCTCTAGAAAAGTATAATGTTTAAACACACTTTTGACAAAATTTGTCTGCTTGAGTAAATTCTAGTAAATCTTAGAATTATTTTTAAAAATTTGACTAGGTCTGATATCAATACGGAATTGAAAGAATACAACAGATTATAATAGACATAAATATTTGATCGGATGTGAGAGATTTTCATAGTGAAAAATCAATTCTCCTCGTACCAGATATTCAGGATTTGGTGCATCCCTAATACATATTTCATTGTTATATCAACTTATTTGAAATGAACATTTTTTGATCTTGTGCTCGATAAGTTATGAATTTTAGTTGCATAGAACAATCGTAATACGTTATATGTGTACTGATATGATTTGAAGCAGATTTTGTTTCAAAATTTTCATTGAAAGGAATCGAGTCTACAGGCAAAAATTATGAAAATAAGATGATGATATAAAAAAGTTCGATTCTATCCGTTATCCATCATGATGTATTTTTTTTCTTGTTAGAAGAAAGAAAAAAAAGAGTTTTACTGTCCCATTTTTATGAGAATACGTTATAGTAACTGAGATTGAACCATGAGACGCAAGTTTTTTTCGCATATTTTTTTAGTAACGATTTGTTACAACATTAGTATGAAATGCTACTGCTTTCTGTTAAGTTTCATAAAGAATTCGGAAAAGAGCGGACTGAAACAATTTCTAAAGAAGTTCAACCCAACTGCCTTTTACTTTCCTCTTGGCACAATCAGGAATGATTTTGAAGCACGGCCTACAACTGAACGTGAAAAGAATATATTTCATGGATTTTCTAATAATCGATATGAACGCTTTAATGAAATCTACCTCTTATCCTCGATTGTTCACGAATAATCGATCAAAAATCGAAAAATTACTTTCTAGTTTGAGAGGAACATTTTCAAAAGCTTCAATTTTTCTAACTGATGAACTAAGAAGAATTGCTTTCGTAGTATTTGTCAATTTTTTCTTCTATTACTACTCTGATGAAAACTTCTTTTTCTTTTTCGAAAAATGACGCTTAAAATTCTATAGAATAAAAAAGAGATAAAATTGCGTTTAAACCTTCTTTTAAATTAACTTGAGAAAAGGTAAAAAATACAGAGTGGATATATAAAAAAGTGAATTGTTATCGTATTTTCAAGAAATCAGTGTTATCAAGAAAATCATACATGAAAAAAAAACTAAGTGAATAGTCATTTTAACGGATGAAGATCTTGATTATGTCTGATAACATCATAAACTGTATCTTAGCAGAATTTTTTCAAAGTTCATACGCTTTACATCGGAAGAAAACTGATTTCTCAACCATTATCGGACATTCATATCTTTGAAGCATTAGCCAATGAATCTAATTGACTTATGTTTATCAGCCTACAGTTTATAGAATAAACCGGTTAAAGTTATGATTTGAAATCATATAATCATGAAGATAACATCTACTGAAGATATAAAAGGTTCCATCAAAAAAATTGAACAAATGAATATTTTACGTGCTGTACTTTATTTTACTAGACGATTTCATTTTATTCAGAAACAAAATTTGGTAGAAACTATATACGGTCAATAAATCCTAGGATTATCTTCAGACTATCGAGAGATAGCTTTTTATAAAAAAAAACATGTTTCGATCAAGAGAATAATATAGAAGAAATTTCAAAAATAATAGGAGAATTATTGTTTAAAGCGCACCCATTACTAAAACTAATTGTTACACATGAATTTTCAATTTGAACACATGTTATGTAGTTGTTTAAAATCATATTATTAATTTTGAGTTCATTTCGAATGAATCAATTGGCAAAAATAAACAAAACAAATTAAATATGAAAATCGACTTGATATTGATACGATCTACTTAAGATACTTCCAACGATCTATTATTGTTAACAGGAAAAACGAAAAAATCTCAAGACATTGCAATATAAATCGAAGTATGTACCAGTAACAACGTAAACCATTATTAAAAATCGTGTGATAAAATAAATCAATATCAAATATCTTTTTTTTATTTGATTCTCATTAAATAAATATTGATAAATAATCATAATCATGTCAACATTTTGTTTGTTTTTGGCGACAAGTTCGATGGAATATAAACATGTTGATAATGTTCAAAGAAAAATTTTTTACAAAAGAATTCAAAGAAAATTAAAGAATTTTATATAAATTTGTTTCTACAGGATTCTTTCTTCATTGAGTTATGGAATTAATTGAAATATCGTTATGAAAACAATTTGAAACTAAAAAAAAAAAAAGAAAGAACTTTCAAGTAACTATTTATTTATCTAAATCTATCAAATAGACTAGTCTTACATAATGGACAGTTTTATCTTTTAACAGATTCATCAAACATGACCTCTATAAAAGAAAAAGTAATGTTTTCGAAAGTTTCTGATTTTTACACTAGTCTATAGAAAAAAAAAAATCTTCTTGATGATTAGGTTAGTTACACGTTATGATAAATTTTCATGAAAAATATATGCCTGTTTGACCATTCGTCGGTTAACAAGTAAATGTTGTTTTATTCTCAAGAGAGAACTCGTTTTCAAATGTTTGTCTAAGATTAGAAATATAATTGACGTCATTAAATAAATAAAGAAGATTCAGTTGTTTTCTTTTAATATAAGTGCAATACATCATCTTTCTTCATTGCTTTTCTTAATAGAATCGATTTCGAAAAAGACGTAAGAATATCGCATAACCAAAAAAAATGAACATTAGTTTTTATTTCGATGAGAAGACTTTTATATAAATCTGATATCAGTTCGATAATTCAAAGTATAACTTATATATCAATGGCTTCATCATATGTTTTCATTCAGTGATTTATATGTATGTTTTTTTTATGTTCTTACGATCAAGGTCAAAACTGTAACATTGAATAATGAAAGAAAAAATTGTTAAATAATGTTTTTTTTTTCGAATAGAAGAGAGAAAATAATTTCTTCTTCTTTTCTGTCGTTGAAATTTTTTTCTAATAAAAATTTTGATTTTTTTTTGTCTACTAAGACATATTTGATGATGAAACACATTGAATTTGTTTTTCATATTATTAGTATGAAATGTCATTGTTAGACGACGATGAATCCTATGTTATTGATGAGTGTCGAATAGAATTTTCACATCCATGTAATTCTTATGAAAAAACTAATTTTATGAATTCTACTCAGGAAGATGAGGATCATAACAAATTTCAAGATTTATGTTTATCTAATGCTATTCATCAAGTATCTGATCGACTTAATAAGTTTTGTATTGATGAATCAAAATTTTTAAAAGATTTAAAACAATGGAGACATGAAGCTCATGATATAATCGATAAATTCTACAAATCAAAACATGATGAATATGTAAGAAGAACAAATGAAGATATTGATCAATCAAGAGAAACTTTAACTTTATTAAGTTGTGATCATGATGCTTCACAAGATTATGTTGATTGGGTAAATTATATTATTCAATCAATTCATCAACAAATAGATGAATTAGAACAGGCAACAACAAAATTTTCTCCATTAAAAATTGATCATTCTTTAATTGATATTCCATGTCGAATATCTGATTTTCAACGTCATCCATCATCATTGAAAGATCTTTTTTCTTGTTCATCATCATCAAATGAATTAGCATCTTGCTTGTCATCATCTACAACATCAATATTAAATTTAAATCCTAATGATAATGATTCTTATTTAAGTTTCGAAGTTCCAAAACATAAGCTTAACCTTCAATCGGATTATTGGTATTCATTATCAACAAATTCAACATATTTATTAGTTTTAGAAAAATCAAATTTATGTTTAATTGATCAATCTTTTAGAGTTACTAATAAAAAAACATTTTCACAAAGTTCTATTAAAGATATATGTTGGTCGAATATTCTTTCTCGATTTATTTTAATATCACCAAAAACTATTTATACTCTTGATGAAAAATTTATATCAGTAGAACTATCTTCAATTACTTCGATTCATAATGCTCCATGGGAACGTGCTACTTGTCATGAGTCAACATTATTTATTTCAACATTTGGCGAAAATCCTCTTATTCTTGAATATAATATATTTCCATCAATACATTTAGATAAACGTTGGCAATCATCAATAATTTGTCAAGAAAATGAAATAATCAATGATATGAAATCAAATGAAAATAATCTTGGATTAATAATAAATAATGATAATAATAATGAAAGTCGTCTTGAATTGCGTTCAATAAAATCTTTTGAATGCATTTGGTCGATTGATCTTGGTGATGGATGGTCCTATAGATGTTCACCTTTACATAATAATCATTGGATTGTTGTTGATCCTTATAATAGCAGATTAATTAAAATAAATAGTAATGGAACAATTGATCAAACGAATAGTTACATTAAAAAACCAATTAATGTTGTTTCCTGGAGTCAAAATCAATTTGTTATAAGAACTCGTGAACATGTTTATATTCATCAGTACAGTTGAATTTCTACAATGTCTTGACAAAAAAAGAACAAATAAAAAATAATTTATGTTTTGAATATAATTAAAATCAAATACCTGAGACAATATATTATTCAATCAAAAGAAGAAGAATAGAGAAGAATTAAAATAATGAAATAAATGAATTTTTCTAAACGTATTATTTTTATTCACCTAGCACACATGTTTAGATTTTCTTCTGTCATAGACTATAAAAAATTGTGGAAGAGAATATATCATATTAGAATTGTTATTATTTCTTTCAATGAGATAAGATGATGATCGTCGCCACATAAGTTTAGAATAGTGACAAACAATAAAAATAGAGAATTATATTGAATATTGATGCCCACTAACGATGGTACGCTGACTAATAAAATGATATCTGTAATGGCATGCTACGATCATGAACATCCCAGGTCGAATGTCCACGATCGTAAACGATCGTTTATGAAAATAAACGGAGGCAAGCGGATGTCATTAACGGATCCCATTTACGGTGGTCGTATATGATGGAAAACGGTGAGAAACAGTTTTCGTATATGGAGTTCGTAACAAAATATGGACTAGCAGAAGCAAACAGTTCTATACGGAGCTACGCAACTACCGTATACGGTCGTACATTAGAGTGTACGTGTGGGTGTTGGTGTGCGAAATTGGGTAACGTGAGAATCCACACTCACACCCCACCCCTACCCACACACCCACACCCACATCCCACACCCCACACACATCCCACACACCCACACCCACCCCCGCCCACCCCCACCCCCACCCACGCCCATCCACACCCTGATTTGGGCAAACTATTTCAATGTCGATGAGAGATTTGAATGTATTTGGAAAGAGTTTTTGTTCAAAAAAATTGCCTGTAAATCAACAAATGTATAAACAGAGAAGTTCAATTTCTTTTGATGAGATTAAAAAGATATTCGTATGATTATATTGAAAAGTTAAACATAAAATAAAAAATAAAAAAAAAACAATGATGCATTAAGTATCGAAAGAAAGAATTAAAGAAATCTTATTTTGAATAGAAGAAGCTGCAGAAAAGAAACAACTGTTGACATGCACGGATCATCTTAAGATCATTTAAATATATTTATCCGCATGATATTCATTCAATCGTAGAGATAAAACAAACTATCAATAAATATATGGAAACAAAATATTATTAAGGTAAAAATTGAACAAAAAAGCTTCCAATGAGGAAATAAAATTGATTTTAAGACGGTTTTTTTCGTCGCTAACGAAACAGAGAATATAAAGACATTTGCTGTTACTACAATGCATATTCAAAAATTCTATATTAAATGTAAAAAGACAATCATTTCAGAGCAAACACTCTCATAGAAAACTGATAAATAGCACAAGTTTTTAAGGAAAAATCTTCTGAAAAGTAGTTTCGATTATAAAACCCTGTAAAATAAAAGAAAAAAAACCTGTTGACTTAGACAAATCACCCTCAGAGACACATGACAAATTTTTTTCTTCATGCTATGATTCATTTTTAGTGTAAAATAAAACTTTCAATTGCAATCAAATTCTTTGGCAAGAAATCGATGATATTAATTTTTTTCCAATTCTTTAGTAAAAAAAAGAATTCCAAATGAGCATAACATATAAGAGGGCAACCTACTTGAGAGTTGAACATTGATCATCAGAGCGTCCATCAAGAAAATAATTTAAAATGAAGAATACATATATCTCGTTTTTGACTACTAGTAGAATATTTTCGATGTGATTTAAACGAAAAATTTTGAACTATAAATTTCTGTGAATGAAGAATTGATTTAAGGTATAAGAATTTCTATGTCGCAGTTATTTCAATTATTTCTGCCTATTTTCAATATTTAGTTAGCTCGTCTTTGATGTAACAGATTTAGTAGAAATAATTTCATTTGATACTCAATTTTATCACTTATAAAATTACAATATTAGAAGAGTAAGTCAACATGTCAATAGGTGTCTAGAGTAAGTTTTCAAAGTGTAACAATAGAAAAAGAAAAGATCCATATTCTAAGTCTTAATTTTTTCTGTAGAAAAGAAATACAACATTATTAATAAATGTTAGGCAGAATATCATATATGAAACTATCCCCAATTTGATTGGCAGTAGTTAAGTTCAGTACGCCAAGTTTCTATAGGAAAAAAAACAAAAATGATTATTGGAATTGCAAGTCAATATTATCTAACGTTTATCAGTATGTGATATCGGACAATTTATCGTTATGTATTTTATTAGACAGCTATCTTTGTGTTAGAAAGTAAGAATAAATTTTCACCGTATTAAACAAATATTGAAGTGCATACAACTATCAGAATATATTTTCTTTTGCACTATTTAGTTGCAATATCTTTGATATTTAATAATCTCGAAAGAAATCTCTTACTAATATAATAAATTGAAACAGGATAACGTGAATCCATATTTAATTGAGCCATATAGTCGAATGCATTAACTGGATGCAATAGAAATTTCTGTAGTTTGATGCAATTGAATAGAAAAAAAACCTACTTTGCGTATTAACATAATTGATTATTGATAGATTTCTATTCTAAAAATGTATTTTCGTTTCTGATTATTTTCATTGATTTTTTGGTTCAAATGCTACGAAACTTTAAATAAATACAAGACATCCTAGAGATATATCGGCTGTAAGAATCATACAGATAGTTCATTTATAGTTTTCTGAGAAATAATGTATTATATGTCTATTAGTATCGGAATTATAAGGCTTCACTATTTAAGAAGGAATATCAGTTTGAGTAAGAAAATTATTGTCAAGACATTTAGAACAGAGAAATACTTAGAAACCTCATACTTTTTCGCCCATAAGTCTTAATATGCAAATGATATTGAAAACACAAGAGAACTCTATGATAGGATTAAATTGGTAGAAAAGTGCATATACTTCCTAAAACTGGAGGAAATTAAATTTTTTCGATTCGAAACATGATTGTTTAAAATCGGTAGTCTATTTTTACCATAATTTTAGATCGAATGTTTTTCTATTAGAAGTTTTGTTTGAATTCAGTTGAGATGAATCTCTCCCTACATCAGTAACATTATTCTTTATGTTTACATCATTTACAGTCATATTTGAAATCGTTCCTTAGATTTATATTTCGTGGCGATGTTTTAGATGTAGATTGTAAATATCAATGCCATGGTTTCATGGATAGCATTGAAAATAACTTATTGAAGATTGATATCATGTAATTATGAATATTTTTTTCGCTTCTGTCTGGTTTTAGTGTGAGTGATTATTGGTTTATCATTTTTTCTAACGCTTTTCTATTTTTTAATGTGGAATCATGTCAAAATTATTATTTTGCACTACAATAGTTTGTCTATTAGGACCGGCAATAATCAATACTGAATATGTCTACGAAATTGAAATTATATGACTCAAATAATGACCTTAGTCGAGAAAATATCGACGGAAAAAAAAGTAATTAATCGTATTTTAGCACCTGGCTATCCCTTCGATGTATCGCGATTAATCGGCAATTTTATAGGAATTTCGAGGAAATAGAGTCGAATAAAATACATAATTAAGCTCGTGAATATAATTTTAATAGTGTCTTTCTAATAGATTCAGTTCCATTTCATCAGAAATTCGTCCTTAAAACTTCCTAATTAATTTTATAGCAAAGATTTCTTTACTTTCCATGCTTCGAATTATGCATAAATTAATATTTTAAAATCGAATAGAACATGAACTTGTGGAATAATTTTCATTGGACTTTTTTAACAAAGTGAGAAACATAATTTAAAACAATCTTGCCTTCCGTTTTGTTGATGATGACAAAGAAAGGTAACGCAGGAACATAAAAACATCGAAGAAAAGACGAAGGTCATAGAAAAAAGGGAGTCTTTCTTTGCATTATTTGCAGCTTGAAAATGAAACCCATGAGTCAATATTAGTAATTGACAAGAAGAAAAACTTATAGGGTCTATTTGAAGAAAATAATTATTATTTGGTTTATTTGCGCACACGCGTACTTTGACGTCAACGTTAGCTTTCGAAAGAAAATTAAGAAAAAGCTATTGACGACGATCTAATTTTTTTAATGTTTAAATCGTAACACTTCGCTACTAACATGACATTGCGGAGATAAGCTTAAAGAAAAAAAAACCAGGCAAAAAGAAAATGATAAGAAGTATATGATAATGCATTAGTATTTTTTTAACCTTATTTGTATTGTTGAAGATAAAATCTCTCTGTCAATATAATACTCACTGAAGAACAACAAAAAAAAGAACTTTGACATTTTGAATTTTATCGATGCAATATTAAATATTGACTTATTATGTGCATAAACACATCTAGAATAGCAATATTAACATAATTTTGTTGAGATTTCTCGATATAATCTATCCATTTATTGATAAGAACTGTTCCGCATTATGTCAAACGCATATTTAACGATTGATCATCTGGGTGAATCAACATCAACTCGTCGTTACAAAATCCGTGAGAAATTACTTTCACTCACTGATAATTACAAAATCAAAGATGAATCAGACCAAGATGTTTTCACCGTTCGATCAAAACTTTTAACGATTGCTGATAAAATGGTTTTAGAAGACATGAATGGAAAGTAAGATGACCTATCAGTTTTCTACTATATTTCAAACTATTATTTCACCTCTGTTAGCTAAGTTAGAATAGTAGTCAGGGTGTGGGTGCGGGCCTGAGTGTAAGCCATCTATTCATCTAAATCTAAACCCACATCCGCACCCACACCCCACACCCTCTGTTGACGAATAATATGAATAGCATGCATATACCAATTGTGACATCCTCGAAAACAAGAGAGATATTTTTAGTGTTTGTTCGGAAAGTTCAGGATAGTTAAGTATATGAAGTGATATGATGAAATACAATCAATTCGTCGAACATCTATTTCTATTCTGATAATGAAATTAAAATAGAAAGCAAAGTGTCACCAGAAAACTTTTCTCTTCGATTTCTTATGAGAATTATTTACATTATTCGCGAACCATTGTTTACCATATGAAGGGAAGAAAACACAAAAAAATACTTAGGACGATATACGTAATTTGAACTTTGACTAGAATCTATATGTTTTAACTTTTAAAAAGTTATTTTGACACTAAATATATGTTCAAAATGTAAAAAGATAAAGATTTTTCTCATTTTCAAATGAAGATATAAACATTTTTTTTAAAGATAATTCTATAATGATTAAATATTCAAAAAATATTATTTTTTATCATACTGATAAAATCAATTCTGTGGATGTTTCAACACAAGCGTGCATTCATTGCACTCAATTCATTTTACTTATATATAAATAGAAAACCCCATGCACTTTGAGAATATGTAGTAAGTGTTTTAAAGAATATGCTTCTATCATAACATTTTAATCGAAATAAAGACTGAAACGATTTTTTTCTCAGTTATATATATAACTAAAACTAAGTCTATTCGTATCTATTTCTGAATTCATATGGAAAACTCTTTATATACGTATACTAATTATATGCATGAATAACTGAATCGAAATCTTTTCCTAACTGCAAATATATTGGTAGGGGATTTTGTGAACTACATTTATAGTCGAATTCGAATTAGGAAGCAACTCACCATTCTTATTTTGTTTGAACAAAATTTTTTTACACCTGAAAATTTCTCTTTGGAACTAGATCATGATAGAAAAAAGTTCACTCGTCATAAAACGTAATTAGAAAATATAAAAACAAATACAATAAATGGCGTCTACAGATGTGTGGGATGTTTTTTTTTCGCTGTATTCTCGTTATACAGAAATCTGCTGCAAAATCTAGTAAACTTAAGTCTAAAATGGTTCCTTGATTCTTTTACTCAAACACAGGAATGTACCCGACCTAAATTCTTTAGTTCCAGTCTCGATTACTTCCTTGTGAACGGTGTCAATCTTAGTCAAAGTCAATCTAGACTTCTAAATGAAGATGATCGGCGGCATCTAACCTTTGCTGATTTCCGGAGCGTTGCCAGTCGAGTTTTATTGTTTTGACGATTTGAACTAACTCAATGATAGAAAAAAATACGCAATACTATTCGAATAATAGAGAAACAGCACGCCATCATTTTGTTATGGCTATTATGGGATATATACACGACATTTTGTTTTCAGAGACTGCAAAAACACATGTAAAAGAAGGAAAAACAAGCGACTTAAGAATCGACAGAGAAGGTCTGACAATTTCATGGTTTGTTTGATAGACGAACAGAAAAAAATCAAATTAAGTAAAATCCAAAATCCACGTAACATTCAACAACTTCAAATGAGTGTACGCAGACGACTAATCTATCTGTTAGTAGATACTGTGTGCCATCTCACCAATAACTTACGAAAGTTCCGAGTAATCAAGATTTAGCTTGTTCATAGATAAAATTACGAATGAATGTTATTGACATCTATTCTTAAAATATCGTAAGCAAAATTTTTTGATTTTTCTATTGTATATTGAATCTAAATGAGCAAAATACAACTGACAAAACAAGACCAGAAACTGTTCAATGGCTTTTGCATCGTAAAGATATAATTTATGTCAATTCTTATGAGTTATATATAACCTTAAAAAGAGCTCAAGCAGTTAGCTTATTACTAACGAGATCATGCAACTTTATAAGTTTTTTTAAATGCCGAACTTCACCTAGGCTCTAAATTTTGAATAGGCTCTGTTTTGTAGAAAATCGACTTTCAAAAGGCTATAGAATTTTGAAAGTTTTATTATTCTTTGTTCAAATTTCAAATTTTGTATTTCACAGAAACTGAGTTTTATTTTCTGCACACAATCGTAAGCTGAATTTCAATGATTTTTTCAAGAAAATAGAAATGCATCACCGAATTCTTATAGGCATTTTCTATTTAGCAATGTAGACAATCGTCTTAAGGAGAACAGTGTACGATAGAAATCTCAAGTCTGACTTTGAAAATAAGGTTTTCTGATATTCCTTGTGGACGTTACGATATTTTTTTTTAACTCAGAAAAGATTGGATAATGAAATTCAGCGTCTCGTTTATCGGATAGGTTCTTGGATAAATCACAAATTATTAGAATTGTATATGATTAAATACTCATTTTCTTAGTAATGCGACCATTATTTTAATTTTATTTCCACGAAACGTCAATTTCTACTTTTAGTGGTTTGATTAAGATTGAAGAAGAACTGTGTCATTTACATCCAACATACAAAATATTTTCAATACATGATGGTGATAAAGGCCGCCAATTAGCATTAGTCAAGAAGAAATTTTCGTGGAATGAAAAGTTTTCAGTTAATTCAGTCTATGGTGAATATAAATTAGAAGCATTGGATTTTCTTGGTCGTTCGTTTACATTGAAAAAAGAAGATCGTACAGTGGCAATTGCAAGCAGGAAATATTCGAGTTTGGTTGATACCTACGAAGCAGAAATTGATGGTAGTGAAGATCATCCATTCGTCTTAGCCCTGATAATTATAATTAATCAAGCACTGCACCAAAGCAGTTTTGGAGCCACTGGAACTGCTTACGTTCCTACATATAGCTAACAGTGAAACTTATGAAACATGATTTCTTTGATTTGACTGTTTTATTTTATAAATTGAATATAAATTTATCATGATGAACTTAAGTAGAGCTGACCGGCAGACGATTGACTTAAGCGTAGATTGAGAGGCTAGTCAAGAAACTGAAACATATTTAGACTAATCCGTCTGTTTGCTCGTTTTGCAGCATATTGAACTATTTATGTTTTTTCGACCATCTTTATCAATTCTTAAAGACAGACAAACATAGATGGATTTCTATTTCTAGATCTTACTCTAAAAAAAATATAGTACCATACGGAATCATTTTTTCAACTTTCATGCTTTCGAAAAAATCCAAAATGCATGCGAAATGATTGTCAAAGCCCCACGAATACTTTTAGGAGAGGGTGTGGGTGTGTGGATGTTGGGTGTGGGGCGTGAGTGCGGTAAGTGTGGGTGTGGATGTTGCTCTGGGTCTAAGCCATCTATTCATCTAAATCTACACCCACACCTACATCCACACCCCCACTCTCAAATGCATCTTACAGTTATGGATATGCTTCACCCAATCTAACTGGAGAACGATGCATGTTTGTAGTACGTGTATTAGTCGGAAAAACAATCAGAGGTAGCGGATCGATGAAAACTCAACCTCTTCAATTTGATTCACCTGCAGATGAAAGCCATATTTTCGTCACTTATCAAGATGCTCAAGGATACGTTGAATATTTAATTGCCTATTAAATAGAATGAAATCATTATTTTCTTTTATTTTCCAAACTATATATTTTTTATGTATTTCAGAGAATAGGAAATAATTAATAATCATAATTAATTGTTTTTATTTGAGAATTTTTCTTAATAAATTGTTACGAAATGATTCTTGCGTCACGTTAATCAATTCTTTCATAACTATTATTGAGGTTTGTAAACTTCTGTTCACTTTTGCTTTTGCCTCTCTGTAATGGTTTATAAATATATATATAGCAATCATTATCAGCCAGTTAGTATCTCTGCGTGAAACCACCAACTCGATCTCTACCATCATCGAGCATATTTTCTTCATTTTCTGCGCCATATGTATACCTGTTTTTTTTTATTGATCAAAGGTAAGAAAATTTTGAGTCTTCAAACTAAAGATCCTTTTCTCAACAAGTGTTAAAAGTGATTAGTAGAACAGCTACTTTCGAGAATCAATCTTTGAAACAAGTGTGTTTCATATGCCACCAATTGGCATGAGTTTCTATCATCAGAAGAACATAAAGACGTCTTTTTTTCTGTGTCAAATACAAACGAGTAATATTTCCATCATTTCAATACTTTTCGTTCTCTTTCATGGAGAATTGTGTTATCAAACAAAAACACCGTATCACATTACACCTGATCAACAGGTCTTTTGTTCTATAATATTTTTCTTTCCTTAAGAACAAACAATATTTAAGAAAAAAAACACCTAAAATATGAACAATATCTGCACATCGATGCTGATACACATTGTCATAAACTACCAAATTCATCATGATCATCAGCGATGAATGTTTCTCATGTGCACGATTTACCATTAGATTTAACATCAGCTGCGAATCAACGTCATTCATTCGACAAAAACAAGATCCTGAACAACGAATGATGATGAGAACAGATAGGCACACGATCGAATATATATCTCTGTGGTGATATCGCTTACAAAATACTTTGGTCTATCTGATTGTATCATTCAAACACAAACGAATAAGAAATATTCCTTTATTCTATACACACTGTACTCACCCGCATGTAATGACACACATGATTCAATTACACGATGCCTAATGATGTGTGAATGACGAACAAAAAACAGCTCGTCAAATTTTCATTTCTCATTGGTCTAGTTTCTTTTCATAATAGGTAATATTGTACACATGTTTATTTTTTTTAACAAATATTCTACCAAGAAATCTAACACCTATCATAGCAATTTCTACTTAATGATGCAAACTTCTTTCTTGATACGATTTCATGCTTTTGATAGCAAATTTAAAAGTTACTGCTGCACTTTGAGTATAAATATCGTGCAATGGATTTTATTGGATGATTTTTTTTATTAAACGATCTCAATTTGATTACTATGTGGATGTACCAATTCGAGTTTCCAGAAAATTTTGCATAACCATTTTTAAAGCAAATTGCATTTACACATTAGTGTCCTCTATATCTTTTTTTCTATTACTGGTCCTCACCCTCACATTCTTAAGCTATTAAATGAGAAAAAAGGAAACGTCTTCCAATCTGTCTGTAAAATATAACATCTATTTATTTCTCACATGTGTTGTTTAATGATGTATACGCCCACTTCATCTAAATAAATAATTTTGTTATGTAACACAAACCAGTCAATCCATTTCTCCTATGCTCACCTGTACTTTTGACAGTTGCAAAAATTAGTATGTTTCTGCTGACGTCAATCAATATGATTCATACATGTTATCGTTGTCATGCTTTATTAGTTTGTATTTTTTCTATTTCGTAGCAATGACAACCAAAGAAGCGCAGCTACCAATCGTTTCTTATGTACAATGATATTCAATCTGTCTACTCTTCTTTTTAGATTTGTTACTTCTTTGTTTCGCTTCGCATCATGGCATTAAATAAACATTCCAGAAGTCGTAAAAAGAACGAATTATACGAGATTGGTCCTGGTTTTTGGAACATTCGTGGTCATTTTAAAATGTTCGCTAAAATGGCTGATATCGGAACACAAATGTCCATCGTTCAATTGAGCGACGGAAATTTCGTTGTTTTTGACACAGTCGAACTCAATGATCATCTTAGAAGACAAATAGATCGACTGACAAACAATGGAGATTTGATCGAGGGCGTGGTTGGCCTACATCCATTTCATACTCGATCATTTTTGGCATTTTATCAAGCATATCCACAAGCAGCTTACTATGGAACGCCGAGACACTTACGTATACTGCCAGAAATTCCATGGTTAGGCAGTCTTGATGATTGTAATGCAAGGGGGAAAAAGCGGATCCTCGGATCCTTGGATCCTCTGGATCCTTTTGGATCCTTTTGGATCCTCTTGGATCCTCCGGATCCTTTTGGATCCTCCGGATCCTTTTGGATCCCAGTTTGGATCCTTTTGGATCCTTTGAGATCCTAGGATCCAAAAGGATCTCAAAGAATCCAAGAGGATCCAAAAGGATCCAAAAGGATCCAGAGGATCCAAAGGATCCGAGGATCCGAGGATCCGCTTTTTCCCCCTTGTTGTAATGTGAGACAAAAATGGGAACCAGATGTAGAAATGCGCATTTCAGCGGGTGAATGAAAGGATACTTTGACTATGTTTGAGAGATATTTTAATATGCGGTAGAGTTTTAAAATATTTTTCCATATCTTGACAAAAATTTCATCATTTTTTTTCTCTGAACAGAATGTTCTTTTTATTAATTAGTTTCAAAAAAAAGTCATAAAAGCTTAGGAATTCACATTCTCATAAAACAGACCTTTTAGCTATTGACAGTACTAATGATTAAAAGCGCTAGTGCAAAAAAAGTTCAGAATAGATTAGCTGCTTTAAACTTATTGGTGATCTGAACATGTGAAACAGTTATCTATTCCTATTTTAGGTGGTGAATTTATCAATCCACAAGAATCATCCAATCACTTAATGAGTGCATTCATCTACCATCGATTATCTCGTACACTTCATGTGGATGATACTATCAATTATACCGACAAGTTTGGTTTCCTTCTCAAATTATTTGGATTCCCGCACGGTGTAATAGCCTTTCATATATCGCTCACAGGTCCCGGTCTGCATCCAACAGCCGAAGCTCCTTACTTATTTCGAGATTGGATGCGCAACATGTTGAACGATTGGCCATTTGACAATATATGCTGTGCCCACTTAGATGTGAAAATAGGTGGTGCACATGCACAGGTAGCCGAACTTTTGAGGAAGACAGAACCATTGTTGGCCAAATTAAGCAAGAAGAATAAGAAGAAAAACCCAATGGGAGAATTGCCAGTTGGTAATAATTTTAATATAGACATCACTGGAAATGACTGTGGATGATTTTATCATGAAACAACAGAATCAAATCTATTTTTTGAAAATGTATTCATGTAAATTTTGTGTTTTCTTTTGAAATATCTCTGAAGAACTTTCATTATGATCGAATATAGGTTACAGTGAGTGTGAAAAGCAAAATTCTGTATCATGGGTATGTATGTCAAGACCAGCAAGGAGAAAGCCGCAATACTGAGATGTTCGTCACTGTCTGTGAAAGGGCTGTGAATGGGTCTAAATTTTTAACTTTATACATCAACATTCCTTTTAGATCGTCTCTCACAAAATAGAGGAAGAATGAAATCAAAGGCATGCTTTATGCTAGTGGTTAGACATATTATTCTTCTATTCTGTTTGTTTCGCAATGCATCGAATATGTAACTAATCTTTTTTGTATCATTTTTACATTGAAGCACGTAAATTTATTTGTACGTGCAAGTAGAAATTGGATAACTGCCGTGAAAATCATATCTTCTATATGAGTTTTTATTTTATTGAAGACAATGTGTGAGCTTCCGATAACCTATCTGATATCATCATCAGATACATGATGACACGCGAAACGTAGTTTACATGACTCGTGAAAAAAAAATAGATATATAGGTTCTGTGTGACATCTGTTCGAAATAATTGTACATCTGTTCTTTCGAACAGATGTCACATGGAATCTATATATCTATTAGTTATGGGTGTGCGTGCAGCTGTGATATGTATGTTATCGTTCTTATTATCACAAAATAAGCATCGTGATGGAATGAGAACAAAACGGAGCAAAAGATAATCCGCTTTCGCCAGGAATCGCGCCATGCATGTTCTGCTTACCGGGTAGCTGTACTGCCGCTATACTAGAAAGCGTATCTCCTCTCTGTCTTACGACCGGATGGGAACAATCAGATCGTAACACTGTAGCTTCAATTATTTCACACCCACACTCTATCTGTTTCTAAAGTTTTTCTCCCTTTTA